GGCGCGGCCCCGCGCAGGCGCCGCGGGGGGGCGCGCGTGCGCACTGGGCAGGGAGGCGGGAGCCGGCGGCGGTTGTGGCGCAGTTGGCGGGAGGTTGAGTCGCGGCGGGTGTCGCTGACTGGATTCTGCGGTCTTTCGGCAGCTTTCATTTAAACACACGCAAATGCCGCTTTCTCGCGAAAAGAGGAATGCGTGTGCTTTTTTTTCACTGCTGTGCTAATGTTTAATTAAGTGCTGCACAAGAGCATAGGGAAGGCAGGATGGGTTTGGCACCTGCCAGCCTGGAAATTGTCCCTTCTGGGATAAAAATGCAAAAGCGTTGATCAGCCATTGCCTAATTATCTCACACACCAGGGTACAGACAGCATATTCACTTGTATTTTTACATAACCATACATAGGTCTGTCTACCTCACCTCGTGGTGGAAGACCGTACTGTGTCAAGCTGACAACAACTTAAGGAGGGCCTCCAAGAAAAGAAAACATTTGTGCAGAGTTCGCTTACTCTTGGTCCCTTGAGAGTAAAATCTTAAAAAGGATGGGTGAGAGGTCTCTTTTTACGATATTTAATGTGTACAGGCGCAGAGGAGGGACGGGCTATTTAAACATAGGCTTCTTTCGCCTGTTGGATCTGATCTCCTTCAAAAACAGGCTGGCTGCACCGCTGAGCCACATCCTCATGTTTGCTCTTTTCACGGGGTTCAGATGTGGCCCTCACTCAATAAACTAGTGACTATGGCATCCCATACCCCTTTTCTTTTGTAAAAAAAAAAATGCAGAGCCACCCAAGTGAATCCCTGACTTGGGTGTTCAACCACACCCTCATTGTCAGGACTTTGATAGGGCTTGACTTCTGTTTGAACAGGAATTTGTGTAGCTCCTGACACAAACCCTTTGTCTATGCGAGTTCCCATGGTGGTTTGTCATTTATTTAGCCAACTTAAGGCTCCTCACAAGCGCTATCTCCACTTGCATAGCTGTAGTTTTAGTAGTCCATTTGATCTTTCTACTATCCCCTTCCTTTGAGATCGATGAGGTAGGTGGAAAGTGTGTCGTATTCCCATTGCATAGAGTTTGCAGTTCTTTATACTTAAAATACGATCCATTATCCAAATGCATTTCTCTGAGCAAGGGAGTAGTAGCAGAGTACTGGTGTAAACCAGCAGCGGTTGCTAGACCAGTAGCATCTTTTGTGGGGTGCACACTGTCTACACTCATAATTATTTCTACTCCTATAGGGATTTAGTTCATGCTTTCAGGTGTTCTCTTTTAAGGGACCAATATAATCTACTTTCCAAGTTTTCTAGCATAGGTAACTTTCCCTGAGATAGGTAAGCCCTTGTCCTTTTGGCTCGTACTGCATGATTGTTTGACAAAAGTGTGATGAATCTACAACTGTTTGGCCAGCACTTCTGTCACAGACCTCTCCTTGCAACCTGTTGAAATAACTTCGAACTTGCAGCGTGCCCTGGCCATTTATGTAACCACTTCCCTGGCCATTCTGCCTCTGAAATGTGTCATACATTTACTCCAGTCAAATGATAAGCCATTTAATTCCCCTTTCCCTTATAGGTTTTTGGTGGGCAAAGGCATGAGCTATGGATATGTTCTTCGAGTGAGCTATATGCAGCTCTTTTCCCAGTGTTGTTTCTCCCCATATGCTTCTACTATTTCCTTGCCAGTAGTTTTTTTCACCCAGTTCTTGAGCACTGGGTAGCACCGGCCCATACAGCATAGGAGTCTGTAGAGACACAAGGGTCTCCTTGCTCCAGGGACATCTCCACGGCTGTGAGCTCTGCCAGCAGGGCTGAGCTGTTTACGGCATCTGCAAAAGCTTCTTTGGTTGCTACTGCTTTAGCAGCAGCATTGCCTTTCTGTTGTTTGCCCGCTCGCTTGGTGCTTCTGTCTGGGAGCTACACCCCTGCTCTTGTCTCGCCATCCCAGGGTGGCGCGTCAGGTATCGAGTAGGAGGGCAGATGGGAGTGCTGAATAGATCTAATCCCAATTTGTTCTACCCTCTCTGATAATGTGTTTCCTTCCTTTCTCCCATCACTTGTCACCTGGTAAAGTATGTAGAAATCCCATCACTGCGCAGTCCCCTAAGCGGTAGTGGCTTGCTAGTTACACTGATTCTTTTAATGACTATCAGCACATATAACTTGATTTCCTTTCTTGAGTTAAGGACTTGGTAGTTAGCAGTCCTTCTTATACAGCTAATGGCACTTTCTCCAAGGCAGTGTAGTTCCGTTGGGAGCCTTGCCAGGATTTAGGGCCAAAGGTAACAGGGTAATGCTTTCTACTTTTGCCCATCGTGTTGCCATAACTGCTATTGACATCCCTTATCCCCTGTGCCTATATGCAGTGTAAATGGGCGTGTAGGGTCGTTGGACTCATAGATGACAAAGTAAACCTTTAAACCTTTCATTTTTTAAAGCATTTATTGCTTCATGATGTTTTGGTGCTGAGGTCCATATTGAGTTTTTCTTCAGCAAATCGTGCAGAGGTCTTTCTAGAATACTGAACCCAGGCAAGTGTGACCTCCAAACCCCCAAATTTCCTAATCAAGCTCTCAATTCTTTTTGATCGGAAGGTGTGGGAATGTTTGATATCTCTGCTCATGTAGATTCTGGCCACAATTTCCCATCCCATCCCATCATTCTCAAGTCCTTGAGAATGTCATCTCTTGACTTGGTCCTTGCCATTTCAAGTGGGGAATGATAATATTTAATTCTGGAAACTGCTGAACGAGAACGTAAGGATGGTGGGACAGGTTTTGCAGCTGCTGGCATGGAAATTGTCCTTTTTGGAGTACAAATACAACAGTGTTGGTCAACTACTGCCTAGTTGTAGTACCTACTGCAACTAGGTTGCAGATCCTACTGCAACCTAGTTGCAGATCAACTACTACCTAGTTGTGTCTGCCACACACAAAAGGTTATAGACAGCATATTCACTTCTCCTTTTACATAATCATACACAGATCTGTTGGCCGCACCTCTTCTGGTGGAAGAACGTGCCTTGTCGAGCTGACAACAACTTCAAGAGAGCCTCCCAAGAAAAGATGTTCATGTGGACCTAGCTTATTCTTGGTCCCTTGGAAGTAAAATCTTACAAAGGATGAACAAGACATCCATTTTTACAATCTTTCTTTTGTAGAGTGCCCGGAGGAAGGACAGGTTATTTAAACACAGGATTCTTGCGCCTGTTGGATCTGGTCTCCCTTGAGAACAGTCTGGCTGCACCACTGAGCCACATCCTCATGTTTGCTCTTTTGACAGAATTGAGACATGGCTCTCAGTTGATGAGCTGCAGGCATCTCAGGTAGACTCACAACACAGTTTATTCCAGCAGGAACCTTGTGGGTTGCAGTTTCCACCTCAGAATCCTACAGTGTAGAAACTCTGTCCTTCAGCAGATGCCTTGGAGCAATCTCTGCTGTGTCCTATGCGTGGCTGTTGCATTGGTGAGGCATCAAAGCATCCTGCTTAGACATTGTGACTCATGGTTTGCCCTGTGAAGCTGTAGGAGGGTACTTACATGGTCAGGCAGGTTTTAGGAGGCTCTTCATAAGAGAATGGTCTTCCAGGATTCCTGTGGTCCACCCTCCCCTCTAAACACATCCTCAGCTGACCCGAAATGGGGCCTTTGCTGATACGCCGCAGGCAATGGCTTGTTCATATCTGGCCTGTTTTGTTGGACAATTCAAGAAGAGAACTGATTATTCTTCCTTTTGGAGCTGTCTCTGTAAAACACTGTGTTGTCCCAGGCCTCCAGCTTGGGGGCTTTGTGAGTGATTTTCTGCTTTTCTGCTGTTTGCCAAAGAGCACGACATGGAGTGCTTTTTGATCTCTCTGCTAGGTGTCATGCTGTCCTCAGTGGTCGTGGTGGAAAAAGCCTGGGGCCTATTTAAAAAGTTTTTTTATCAACTAGAGGGCGAAACTAGTGTGGAGTTTGGGAAGATGGAGCCCTCAGACCAGAGAAGGAGCTTTCCAGGGAGCAGCCAGAGGATGTTTTGTGTGTAGAGGGCCATTTGATAATTGTGAAGGCCATATTGCAAGGCATTTTTCCATTGCCTCCTTCTCCAACCTTAGCTGTTACCGGTGAGCTGAGTAATTGCCCTCACTTTTGCTCGACTCCTGCTCCCTTGTCCTGCCTTCAAAGCACTTCTGGAAGGACAGATCTAGCTCTGAGTAGCTCCTGTCCAACCTACTGATTTCATTCTTAAAATTACTCAGTGGAGGGGCAGAGATGCATGCTGGATACTGTCTGTTAAGACTGCTGCTCCTCCCTTTGGGTTGCTCCATCTCTGAGATAGGGGGGCTACATTCAGCTTTTGGCTCTGGGCTGTGGCAGGCAGAACCGTTGTGCCTGAGGAGTACCAGGGTGTCCTGTCGGGGAGAAAGAGTCTGTAACGGAGTTTTCAGTGGCTATCTGAAGATGCAAGGGGACTCTTTCTGTGGGACCATGCATCTTGGGCTGAGGCCACCTTAGTGCCTATGTATTAGAGGAGAAATTAAAGAAACACAAGTACCACCAAGGGCAATGTCCTGAGAGAGTGCAGTTCTAGGCCATAGGTAGCACCTAGGTGAAGAGCAGAGGTGTGCAGATGTTTACCATCTGGAATGAATGTTTTGTAAGTGCTGATCTTTAGATCTGCTGGAAAGGGTTTTA